AGAGTAGAAATTAATCTATTTTGTTGGTTGGCAGGTTGCGGGTCCTAGTGTATTTTGCCCAACTCACTGTGGCTTCCAAAATCTAAGCAGTTCACAGTCGATTAAAACCAACCAACCAACCAGCACAACCCTTTCCCAAATAAAAATAATAATAAAAACAGACATTTAAAAAGTCTGTTACTGGAGCCTTCTCCCCTGAGGTCCTGTCAAGAACATAGTAGCTCTAACTTCTTTGTGTGACTTCTGTAGAACGCTGGACAGCTAAGAAACATCGTTTGAAAGCCACTCTTTCAAGCTATCCAAATGTTATTTATTTTGTGGCTCATCAAGATGAGATTTCTTGCAATGAACCTCTCTCAAGAATTAAACATATTTCTTTTTCACTGCCAAGTATAGTACTGTTTCTAAAGATGACTCTTGAATCAGATTGCCAGAACTCAGCAGTAGGAGTAAGGGGACCACTAATTAATATGCATTAATTAGAAGTAGCAGAAATTGTGTATCACAAAGGGTAATATATGGTGTTGAACATTCAGAGATTGTTTGTAATTTCAGTCCCACCTAAGATAATTCATGTGTCAATAGAAGTTTGTCTACCTGAGTTTCTGACTATATTATTTGCACACATTTTATTAGTTAGGTTTAGGCTCTAGGAAAGGCATCTGTTCAATCTGTTCAGTAATTCTCTATTTGAGTGGCAGATAAAGTACTGAGGAGGTGATTGATATGTCAAGGATGAGGAAAAAAGGCATTAGCTAAGTAATTATGTTCCCTTAAAGCATTTCACTTGTGCATGTTTGTGTCAAGCACAGCTAGTGCCTCAAATGTGAGTAATGAAGCCTTCTCTCATTAACTGGCCCTGTTGTCCCTGAGATCATGACAGAAGACAGTTAACAGCTGAAATTATAGCCGGGATTAACTAGGATATGCCATTTTTCACATGTAGTATGTAATTAGTCCTATCAAGAAACACAACAGAATGTTCACAACACCAGTGCTTACATGTATTACAAATTATTTAAAATGTAATTAACACCAATACATGGTACTATTGTTGTTTTTCAGAAGGAGTGAGAAACATGAAACTCTTATGTGATGAAATCCAAGTGTGAGCACTGCTAGAATAGACAGCCAGGCAGCTGGTTAACTATGGGGGAAAGCCACATGACCGTATTTTCCAAACCTTTTTACAACCAACAAGATGAAGGTCTTTCATGTTCATCTTGTGTGGACAAGGTGATTTGGGTTCCTGTAGGAACTACTAAGAAGTAATCTCCCTTCCCAAGTTTGCCATAGCAACATACTTTTGTTCTTACTACTCTAAAATGTCATTTCTTTGGGTTCAAACACAAATGTAGGAGTGTTGTGTCCTTTTACACTATTAAAATGTACATATAACTTATGAGTGAAGGAAAGACTCTAGGGGTTGGCTCTAATGTTTTATTTCCAAAGTCACATGAATGCAATCCAGATCAGAAGTTCCAGCCACCTTGTGAGAAGCCGGCATGGGCAGAATTCAGTGATGGATGAGAACAGAGGAAAGCTTATAGCAGCAACTCTGGAGAGAGGCTCAGGGCGCATTTCAGAGAGGCATGGCCTTGACCCTGCGCCGCAAGCCTCTTCATGGCCAAGGTCCTGGCTGACTCACCTTTGTATCTTCAAGGCTCTGAACTTAACATATATGCAATGAATACATGAACAATTGATAGAGACTGTGGTAATAAGTGGTTACTAGTGTGGGGAGAGAAACAATGGGATGGACAACAAGAATAAAGTGATGAAGTGTACATTTAGCTCACCTTGGGGCTCAGTATTCAGAAGGAAGCCAGGATCCAGAAACAACTGCTGAGACAGTTGTTGTGATTTTTCTAAGAACTAAAATGACCCCAACACTGGAGGAGCTAAGTATGAGAGAAAGATGGCCAAAGGAAAACACATCTACCGAGGTCCTTTCTTCTGGATAAGAAGACCCTATTCTTACTTCTGTACAGTGTTGCTTTTATATATTTACTCCCAAATGATGTTATTGCAAGAGGCATAAAAACATCCATTTTTTCAATTAAATATGAAACTCATATCTTCATACTTATTAAACACATGAGAAAACATATGTGGGGTTATAACAGTAATCCAAAGACTATGTTTATTTGCAGTAGTTGACTTTGTGCATGCATATTTACTTGTTTACACATGGTTTATGCGTGTCTGTTTCTGTCTGTTACACCATTTCACAGAGAGCATTTGGATCATAAATAAAATTAGTTTTTACCTCCTTTTTTTTTTTTTTTTTTTGCCTGCGTTGTAATTGTGTATGTTTTAGCATTTGATTCCATGGTGTGATTTTGTTTTATATCTATATCTGTGCAAGTAAATTGCATGTGCATTTTTAATTTTTAACTGTCTTTGTAAAAGTTTGTTTGGGGAGCTTGGAGGGCGTTGTGTAAGCCTTTGAGATAATCTCTTTATCATGATACCCCAAACAGAGGGGTTTCTTGAGAGTGGGTATGCTGAGTCTGATATCACTTTTTTGTTTTGTTTTGTTTTTTTAGCAGTACATATTACAAGAGTTAGGTGGGAACTTACTTTGGTTGGAGGTAAAGACAGAAATGACAGAAATAGGGGAAGTATGTTCAAATTTTCTTTTGGGTCATCTGAATTTGTTCTTTAGCAGATGGTAGATATCCACACCCTTCAAAATAGATGCAGAGTGATTTCTTGTTACATAGTGAGCTACCTCTCTTTTGTCTTTTCCTTTAGCTCTAAAATGCTATTGAAAAACTCTGAACCAGTAGACGCCCAACTTTTCTCTATTTCTCTAATGTTTTCTGATTGGGAAATCAGAATAAAGGCTAAAGATATACCCTTCTGTAAAGTCTAAGCTCTGACTCCCAAGTTCTTATTTATAGAGTAGGGGTCAGTTTCCTTGCCCTCCACTAGTGCCTGGAATGCTCCGCTTGACCATAAAAAGTCATTCCTGAGCGTATTTTTAAAAAGTAAAAAGAAAATTTTAAATGTGAAAATCTTAACCCAAGGAAGCACAAGGCAATCCAAAGATAATAAGGAAACATGCCAGAGGGCTCGTCAAGTTTTAATCCCCCTTTGCCTGTGTATTAAAAGAACACACACACACACACACACACACACACAACTTTCTGAAAATGAAGAATTCCACACCAGACAGACTCACAGATTGCGGAAAAGAAATACGAAAAGCTGGAGCTGTCTGGAAGAACACAGCTATAAATCCACACTTTGAACTCAGCCTTCTTTGGGGGAAAAGAAAAGAGTCACACACGTCCTTATTTAGCGACAGGTTGAATGCTTACTCCTGTATGTGCTGTTTGGTGTGTGCCAGGAGCAGGTGTGAAAGCTAAGGAACCGAGGTACGAAAATTCTAGCGTGCAGCTGGAAAGACAAATTACCCCGCTGGCAGTTAGCCACTCGACTGGGCTGTTCTGCGTTGAGTTCTCTGCGGGCAGGCATTAAAGGCCAAGAAGGTGAAATACAACAAGGTCCAACCAAGTCCTAGCATTGCTTTGGGAGCCTTGGTTGGCGGCTGACGGCTTAACCTCTCCAAGCCCGGAGCTTGCAAGGACAATTTATCTCTTGCAGCACTTCCGCGCCTCGCCTGGCTGCTGCCACTGGCGCCCCCAAGTGCCGCGCGCCCCAGCTCTTCTTGGAGCCTCCTTGGACCTTCGCAGCAGCGAACTGTACTTGAGGAACAGCAGAGTCTGGCAGGAAAGGCTTTCCTTGGAATTCCCAGGGGCTCGGCGTCAGGAAGCCATGGAGGGCAACACTCAGCGGGACCCCTGCCCCTGTTCATTCCTTTCTGGGATTTCCTCTTCGCTAAGGGGGCAGTTGCCTGGAGATGTAAAGATGCCGCGTGGAGCTGTGAGGTTCAAACCTCAGGAGCATGCTCTCACAGACGTGGGCATAGACTGTGTGTGGTGGGGTGGGAGGCTGGAGGGCGGAGAATATCGAGACTGGAAAGTCCTAAACGCCTCTTTCCAACCCTTCTCTGGTTCTCTTTTCCTGGCTTACAACCCCCTCTCCGGACCCGCTGGGCACCCTGTCATGCGCGCCAACGCACTTCCAGCCTCACCCATCCACTGGGAGGCAAAGACCAAAACCCAACCTGAGCGTACACAGACCGTAGAATTAACGCCACACGCTCACTTCCCTGTCCTCTGCAGGGCTTTTCCAGTGCTCCTCTGGGAGTCAGGGACGAAGATGGGTCGGGATCCTAAAGAAGGGGGCTGGCGGTCCCCAAGTGCGGTGGCTGCGAGCCCCTGTCCACTTCCACATTTGCACTCCCGTTGCCACTGGTCCTTTCACTCTCTGTAGCGGTTGTTGGGAGTTGGGAGCCCTCGGGTTCCTCTGGGGGTTTAACCCATTTTCTCAATTGTAGGGTGGAGGAAGATGGGAGGGGGAGAGAGGGAGAAGCAAGAGGGGAAGTCACAGGGGAAGAAGAGGGGGGCGGGAACACAAGGGGTGAGAAAAGCGTTTTCACTCTTTGTCACTCTTGAATCGGGGGCGGAGGAAAAAAAACCACTATGTGAAGCTATAAAAAGCAAAGGGGGCGGCGGTGAGAGAGCAGACACAGAGCGCGAGACCGCGCAGAGCGCAGGACCGCTCCAGAGCATCGCGACCGCATCCCGGCGGTGCCTGGCTGCCGGGTGTGAACCAGGGAACGGCGCTTCGGGCTGGGACAGTACGCGCGCGGGGGACCTCGGCTTGCCTCAAACCTGGAGTGTCCGGCCTGGGGGCGGTTCCTGATCGCCCATTATAGCAACGGCTAACATTGAAAAGGACTTGAGTCCTGCAAAGGTTGAGATATAAAGAGTAGCGAAGGAAAAGAGGAGAGAAAAGCAACGGAGGCCGAAGGAGAAGGAACTAGTGTAGACCTCCTGAGCAATTAAAAGGAGGATTGGACCGCGGAGATCCGGGCGGGACCACGGAGGTGCGCGGCAAGGAGCTGCTGAAGCGGCGCGGTCCTTGAGGCTGAGTCTTCTTGCACCTCGGGTCACGCCTCCTTGGCAAGAAGGCGCCTCGTCTTTGATTGCTTCCAGTTACTGCAGAACTTCCTGCCCTGGTGGAGAAGTGGGTCTTGCTTGGGTCGCGCTCGCTCCTGGTTTGAGGCGCGAGACTGAGTTCACAAGGTGCTGGGCCCCGAAGCCTAGTGGGGTTGGGGGTCAGAGTCAGCGAACCTCCGCGCCCTGAGTGAGTGGTGCCTTGTTGGGGTCCTCCCTCCCTTTGCATCAGCATCCCTCGGGCATTGCGCCTCCCCGGGGACCCCTCGCCGGGAGATGACCGCCTTGATGCGGGGCAAGGACTCTTCCTGCTATCTGCTCCTACTGGCCGCGGTGCTGATGGTGGAGAGCTCACAGCTCGGCAGTTCGCGGGCCAAACTCAACTCCATCAAGTCCTCTCTGGCCGGGGAGACGCCTATACAGGCCTCCAATCGATCTGCGGGCACATACCAAGGACTGGCTTTCGGCGGCAGTAAGAAGGGCAAAAACCTGGGGCAGGTAGGAAAATAACCCCAATGCACTCTTCAACCAGGAGAGGGAGGGACCAGCGCTCTTGAGAGCATCCTTGCCTTTGCGCCCCTTGACCTTCCGAGTGCGCTTGCAGGTGTGGCGCGCACTGCTGGGGAGGGGATCCCAGAGCAAGTCTGCGAGGATGGAGGTGGCGGGGCGGCTGCCGGTGCTGGAGGGTGTGGAGCTGGCGGGTTAAGGTTTCACCTTTGCTTTGGGACTTGGGCATGTACTGAGGTCTAGTTCTTAAGGGTGGGGAAAGTGGTCAGAATGGACCTCCAAAATGAACACGGTGATGCTGAGGATGATGTTAATATGAAACACATAACAACTAGCAGTGTCGTAAGCATTTTACATATATTTAATCTTCACAACTCTATGAGCTAGGCACTGTTACTGTCCTGTTCAGCAAATGGAGAAATTGAGGCACGGAGTAGCAGCTCTTTGCCCCCGGCATACAGCTAATTTAAGTGGCAGAGCGAACGGGATTCCAATCCTAGCAGTCTGGGTCTGGGTCCTGGGATGTTCTTTAAAAATCTTTTTTTTTTTTTTTTAATTTATCTTTATTGTCAATAGTATTACAGATGTTTCTCCTTTTAAACCCCCACTGGCCCCCTCATCCCTGCTTCCCCGCCCCCACCCGCGATTTTAACCATTACAAATTTGCAATCTGGAGGGGAGCGTGCTTACCCCTTCTTCAAAGAAGTACGGTCATTTCTCACTCCTGTAAAATTGTAAATAAATCAGCAGGGAGGAAGCAAAATAACTAACAAAGTGACAGTGACAGCATCATAGGCGCAGTCAGCCGGGTGACGGCGATGTAGCAAGGAAAACCCCAGAGGCACTTTTTTCTTTCGTGTTTTTGCTCGATGGAACTTTCCGAGGGCGTCTCTGCGTCTCTGTCACACAGACAGATAGATTGACAGTCACGTGTAAACAGTTACACAGACACACACAAAGACGGGAACGCACGCACTCTGGTCGGCCCGGCCCGCGGCGGCCAGGAGAGGGGGCCCTGTGGGCACTGGGAACCGCGACAGCTCCTCCTTCCGCTCCTTTTGTAGGAAGCCAAAACCGAAAGCCAGTATGCCAAGCAGCACACGCACTTCGCACAGCACAGCTGTCAACCCAGGAAGGCAGCTCACTGCCCCACATTTCCGGGTTTCCTCATTTCATCAAAGGAACCAAGTGCAGCCGCTCTGTGCGCTCTCGGTGTCCTCCGCTGCCCTTGACCCCAGAGCCAGCGGCAGGGTGAAGGGTAACAACTGGGGCCAGTTCTGGATGACAGCCAGGAAGACTTGGCCAGCACTTGGCCTCCTACTGGCCTCTCACGGGACAGTTTTGCTGGTTTTGCAGTTCCAGCAGGCTTCCTGGGCTTTGAAATGTCAAACATTTCAGCTATTCTCTCAAGGGAATACAGAGTCTGCAATCACAGGGTTTTTTTTAAGGTCTTAAGGGAAATGAACTATACATATGTATATATGCTACACGCATACATATCCTTTGCACATTATCACGCGTGTCGCATATCTCCACACATACATGACCGCTATCTTTTTCCGCTTCCCTCAGAAACACCCTGCCATTTTCAATTAGAACAAACTTAATATTTTCTTAGAAGTCCATCATGAGATGGGGTAAAGGTTGCAAAGAAAGGATTCTCTCAATCCAAATCATCAGACATATCTCGAATGCAACTGACTTCAAATTCCACCTTATCAGTTGTTGAAAAGAGCTTAATGCTTAGTTCAGCCAAGGACAGAGGGAGGAACCCAATGTTTTTTGAGGTTCTCTTTGATTCCCATCCATGCTCATTCTTGTAAGTTTCTGTAAAGGACTTTCTGTTTCTCTCACCACTAATCTCTAACACCTGATGTTCCTCAGTCAAATGATCAGTTATGTCAGCACGGTGGCTAGTCATGGGGTTACATGGACTAGACTGAGGGACTCACCCCAGAGCCCAGCTTATCTTTTATGTTTTGATAGCATATTTGTATATAAATATGTATAAAATGTCTGCTTATTTTGCTCTCTCTCCAAATATGTGCCCCTTAACAGATCGCAACTCTATTTGAATGTGTTTATTAAACTGAAGATTTATTTATTTTTAAAGTGAATCGAATTTCTCACACGCTCTCCATAACTTAGTGGTTCTATAGAATATATTTTATTATATTTATTTAGCTGCAATATTAGATTCTTAAAAGTTGTCATTGGGTTTGTGAGAACATTGTAATACATTAGAGATAACGGTAACATACAATAAAACATTGAGCTGATTTGCAGGAAGACAGCTGGGAAATGCGAAGACTGTCTTTCCTATATTCCGCCTTCTCATCGACTTCTCACTTGTTTAGCAGGTGATCTCAAATGTGTACAGTTGTGAAGAAACAAGTAGAAAATCTATCTTCTTTGAAATAGGAAGAGGATTCTTTGAATATTTATGGGCCTCGTTATCTTCTTTATTCCATTAGTTGTGTGGTTACCAAAATTCTTAATACTCTTATTTTCAACAATGAAATAAAAATGAGAAAAGACTATTCAAAGAGGAAGATGTCACTTCCTTTTACAAAGAAAAACTCTAGAATTGAAATGTAGCTAAGCTGAATTTTTATTCATCATAATAGAAAAATATGAATGGTTGAGAAGACTGGAAGTAAAGTGCCAGCTCATCCTACTAGCTAAATTATGTAGTGTCATCCCGAGGGGTAATAAATCGAGGTCTCTCTCTCGTTCTCCCCACCCTTGACTGATGCTGCTGAAAATACACATTTCAGAGATACAAGAACAAGGTGCTGTCGGGTGCTCTCTCAAGTAGGCTTAGTAGACACTTACTCTTTGGTCTTCTATGCCACAGTGAAATTTTTCTATTTAGCTCTTTTATACATATATATATACTTTCAGGATCGAGAATTAAATACAGATTTTATTGCCATCACAAAAGAAATTGTCAAAGAAATTGATCATTTATTAATCTACAAAAGTGAAAATGAGAACAAATGGGCCCCACGGTTTTCTTGATTCCACATAGCTTGACTTCATACGAAGAAAACGATCTTATTTATAGGAATTCTACTTGTTTCTGGCAAGGTGGATCATTTGTCAATTAGTCCTTGAAAATGTGCGTCTGAATCTCAGGAACAAGTTAGAGGGCTCTCAGAGAAAACGTACTATTTCCCAGAGTTGTTACAGTTCTCGTTCATAGGGTTGCTTTCAAAGACACAGTTATAAATTTTGACGGAAACCGACATAGACAATTCAATGTAGAAATACTTAGGGGATTGGTATAGAAGTAGCAAAAATGTTTTTGCTGAATTATTCACATTAATGTTTTAATTTGACTTTCCGTTTGCAGCTATTGCCAATGAGTTTAGGAGGTAGTGAATGTCTGTGTATATATATGTCTATGTGTATATGGGATAAATTAGTTGTAGGACAGTTACTAATATATATATGTCAACATATACTTCAGTTTCTAAAGAGACTATTGCAAATTTTCTAAATCAAAGGTAGTTTTAAACAAAATCTTTAATATCCTACAGAATAATATATTCTGATTAAGTACACTGTTGCTCAACATTGCCTCTGGAGTTTGAGATGTCAAATTTACAAGTTATCTTAAAGACAAATTGTTTAAAAGAACAATTTATAATTTTACCTTTGCGATACACAATGAATGATCTTTTTTCTGGGAATGGAAAACCTATCAAATTTGTGTTTGTAATTTTTTTTTAATCTTTACTCTTTGCTTTGTCTTTTTTGAGGCGAGTAGAATAATTAATTTGAATACAATGCTACAGAATTCTAAAATATTTTTAAAGTTACTATTAAAACTATGGAAAATAATTATATTTTAAAGGTAGATAAGCTTCTGACATGCGTCTGTAAAAAGAAGCTGAAACTGGTTAAATGTAAATTCAGACTCCATGATTTTGTAGTATAACTTGAACATTTGGAGGACAGTGGTTTGAATGAAGTTACATTGTGAAAAAAAGAATGCTTGAAATACATTGAAACAGAAGCTTGAGTGAGTTGGTTAGAAAGCATTAATATTTGTAGATTGCATTTTCTTTATTAAAGACGCCGTACCTATTTGCATGCACAAATACGCATGAAATTGCTTACTGAAATAAACTATACACACTATTTTCTATAGGTGATCTCTTCACTTTCTGAAATTATCTATGATTTTTTTTAACTCCAGTCCAATCTTTCCTTGCTGGAGAAAAAAATATCTGCTATCTCCTCTGGACACCAACTGATACTAAACAAAATCGGGAAAGCAAATCATTTTTAAAATGACATCTTCCCAAATAAAAGATTTTGAAACAATTTACACTAAGGTTTCTTTCCTTTCACTGTGAATAATAGAAAACTGATGATAGTGGATACAAGTGGAAGGTTACCTCATGAATAGCAAGAAAAGTATTTTAATGATCATCTAAGTATGAGCATCCATCATTTTATTTTTGTGCTAGACTAGAGAGAACAAGGAACATGGTTACTTAAACTCACTCCAGCTGTGACTTCGACCCTACCATAGTCTTCTTTAGTGCTCCCCTCTGATACAAACTCCTTCCCAATATGTTTCAAATCTTATAGATTTTTTAAAGTAGAGAAAGCAATATAATAGAAAGGTAACTGATGTTGTACTCTGTTCTAGAAGAATATGGCCACTTCCTTTTGTTTTCCCTGCACAATAATTTTAAATGTGTATGAAAATATAGAGGCCTTTTATAATTCTCAATATATTTACCATTTTAGATTCAGTCTCTTCTGAGTTTATTTCTTGGTATTGATGTAATATTGAAATGAATTACAATTTTATTTCTGTCTGTGACTCCCTGATGGCCCTTTAAAGTCATTTTATTTCATTATACCTCTAGTACTTCTACTTATCTACAAAATATCAGATAAAACTGCTCCTACTTATTTATCTGATGAATGAAAAGATTTAGGGGATTTTGTGTCTGCCTGTGTCTCTTCCTGAG